GCTACACATTAGGATACAATTTTTCTTTTAAATATTAAATGGGTATTTTGATCCTTTTGTTTAAAACAGCTACACAGCTCACTGAATAAGCTAAAAAAAATTCATACACAGACAAACTTTTTATATAAGACAAAACAAACAAATTCATTTTCTTTTTTATTTGAATCAATTTATATATATATATATATATGAAAACTAAAATAAAGAGAAAGTTTCGAGATGTCATCTTTGTTCAGCATTTCATTTTTTTTAAATTAATTTTTTTTTTATTTTGATTGGCCAACATATTTATTTTTAACTTAATATTTACTATATACTAATAATAGATAACTTTTAAAATCAAATCTAATTATCTAACATAATTCAACTAGCTTAACTTTTAAATTTTTGAACCTAAAACCTAGTTACGTTGTTCTATATAAATTCTACCTCAAAACTCAAAAGTAATTTACTGTTTCTCTAAGCTTTTATTTTTTTTTCTTTTTTCATTATTATTTGATATATTTTTTTTATTATATGTGTTCTTCGATGAGCAGGCTTTGAGGACTTCCATTTTTTCAAGCTTTTAACGATTGTGTTAGTTTCTCTAACTTTTTTTTTTTTTCTTTATTATATTGTTTTATTTTATGTGTTCTTCGATCAGCAGACTTTGATTTGTTGGTCTGGCCGTAGCTGTGGCTGGTGGACAGAGGTTGCCATGTTTGGCTGAAGTGCTGACATGGGACAAGCAGAGTGTGGTGTGGCCGTCGTGTTCACTGCTGCTCTTTAGTTCTCTTTGTTCTCGTAAATAGGTTTGTGACGCTTGTAAAAAATTGTTGTCTTTGGTTTTCTTTTTGCTACCATTGTTTATTAGTTGGCTTTTTATGTGCTGTTTTTAATTGAGAGAAAGGGAGGATGTTGAACTTGGAAGGAGATTTCAACTAAAAAAACATTAATTGGTTGTGAATGAATATATGGAAGAATGCAGAAAATCCTTTTTGATTTTGAGATTTTCAAACATTTTTTTTTTTTTTGATAATAAAGGAGATCATAATATTATATTAAATCAAGAGCAATAAGATCTTCAATACAGCGGTGAATCATGTCCCATGAATGGAAACAAGGATGTAAACATGCCACACGAGCAAGAGCATGTGCAGGCTTGTTGACTTGCCTCTTAGCCCAAATCAATTCACAAGATAGATTTTGAGAAAGTTTAATATCTTCTAACACTGGTGTCCAATCTGAATAAGGTTCAAAACCAACCGTAACAGCTTGAAACAGTCGCAAGCAATCTGTTTCCAGTAAAACCCTACCAAATGATCTCGCGAGCAACCAAGACAATACTTCCCTCAGACCAATGGCCTCTGCGATGTGTGGTTTTAGCACCCCAGCAAAATGACCTGTGCAAGCTACCAAAAACTGCCCAGCTTCACTCCGGACAAGGGCAGCATATGATGATCGACCCTCAGTCGTATGGATAGCTACATCAAAATTGCACTTTACAGCTCCAGTCGAAGGGGAACCCATGTCAGAACTGAAGTCGACGGAGAAGAGGAAGTTAAGAGGAATTTCAAACAGTTGAAATTCTTATACATGTTGGTTGTTCAACTGTCCTTTTAGAAAAGAAGTTAAGGGGAAAAGGGAATGGAAAATGGCTACTGTTGATGGATTGTTGGAATTTTGTCCCACGAAAGAAGGGATTTACAATATTAAATTCATACTTAGGACTTAGTTATTTATGTTCTCCATTCTCTCCTCTTTTCTCCTGAATTCTAATTTTCTTTTCATTCTATCAACAAATTTGTGTATTGATAGAGTATGCTATCTTGGTTGTCTTTATTTGAATTTTCAATGCAGGAATTAATGCACCGACTTCTCAGTCTTTGCTCAACTCTGTGCTCTTGGACATTGTTTATGGAAGTATTATGCTTTATCCAAGAATTTATATCTTAATATCTAAATTTAACTTTATTTTCAAAATATTAGAAAATTATAGTGAGTAATTTTATTTTAAAAAAATTATTACTTATTTGAAAATGCTATCTGTATCTATATTTTTATTTGAATTTTTTTCTTTATTTCTTTATATTTACTTATCTATATTTATATTTATATAGATGATAATACTTATAGCGAAAGGTTATTATTATTTTTTTATTTTGTTTACTTTTTATTTTTCAGTCATTTGTATTTTTTTTTAAAAATTATCTCTTGTTTAAGTTTATATATATTAATTATGTTACTATTGGTGGCAAGCTACCTGAGGTAAAGAAACTGGCCTCAGCTCACTTCCGGACAATGTGTCGCATAGTCTTTTTATTTTATGATTTGTTATTCGATTTTTTTTTTTGGGTCTTTTCGCAAGTCGTGTATGGATTATTGCTTATCTTTATCGAATATATTTGTTGTCTATCTTTACATGTCTTTCTTGCAGTTCGAAGGGGAGATTACCCATGTCAGTTAATGAGTCGATCGTTGTAGGAAGTAGGTAAAGTTTCTATATGAGGAATTTTCAAAACAGTTTTGATAATTTTTCGTTTAGTTTAAATCCAGTGTTTGGTTTGTTTGTCAACTGTGCCTTTTATTAAATATGAAGTTTACAGGGGAAGATAGGGAATGGAATGAATGGACGCTACTTGTTGATTGGATTTTTTGTTGACATTGTTGTCCCGACGAAGAGAATTTGGGCAATTTTTAATTCAAGTATTTTATAATTTTCATTACTTTTAGTGACTTTAGTTTATTTTATTGTTTCTGTTGCCAAGTTTCTCTCCTTTCTTTTCTTCTGAAGTTCTATTATTTTCTTTTTCATTCTTGTATTCTAACAATATTTGTGTAATTGATAGAGTTCAGTGCTTATCTTTTGGTTTGTTTCTTTTATTTTGTATTATATATTTTCAATTTGGCCAGGATATTAAGTGCACGTCGACTTCTCTTAGTCTTTGTCTTTCATATCTTTCTCGTGCTCCTTGTTGTTACATTTGTTTTATGATATTTGTGTTATTTTAGTTGCTTATTCCTATAGAATTTATATCTTAATAGTCTAAATTTAAAAACTTTTAATTCTTCAAAATATTTAGAATGTTATATGTGAGTTTAATTTGTTTGATTTTTGTTAAGAAATTAATTTATGTACTTATTTGATAATGCTATCTGTATCTATTGATTTTTTATTTGTTAATTTTTTTTTCTTTATTTCTTTTTATATTTACTTTATCTTCATATTTTTATATTTATATTATTGATTGTATATTACTTATACGCTCTTGATAAGGTTATTAAATTATTTTTTTTTATTGTGTTTACATTTTTATTGTTTCAGTCATGTTGTATTTTTTGTTTTTCAAATAATGTATCTTTCTTGCTGTTAAGTTTATATTAGTTTATATTATTGTATTATTATATTATATTTAGATTTATTAGTATTTATATTTTTATTATATTATATTATATTTATGTATATACATCATTGTTGGCGAATCTTGAGGAAATTCTTATTATTTGATCTAATATATTATTATAAATTAACTTTGATCAAAGTCTATCGGTTTTGAGTTTTTTGCTCAATCAATATTCATTTTTCCTATGATTGTTGGCCCCTTTTATCTTTGCTTGGATTGCATTTTTTGTTTTCATTTACGTTATTCGTAGTTGGAACTGGTTTGAATTTTTATTTGTTTCTTTTTTAGATTAGATTGGTTAGATTATGGGTTTTTTAGTTTCATTAATTGTGAAAATTTGAGGTTGTTGGTTGGCGGCTGGGAATTTGATTTTAAGGTTTTTTCTCCATTTAATTTAATTGGATCTTGGAACATGTGTAGTTATGAAGTTGTTTGGTGTTGTTGTTCGATATAGATATTGAGTTATATTTATATATAACACAGGCGAATCGAGGAATAATGACTAATATAAATAAATACTTGATAAGCTACGTTGAGTTCAAATAAATACATCCTAAGGCTCCTTATCTTGCTATTCATCATAATTATCAGGACTTTAATTATTTTTCTTTTTAATTAGATAATTATTTTTTAGTCATTAATTTGAATTATTGCCAATTGATTAATTTCTCCATAATTTAAATTGAACAATTAGTATATTGTTTTTCGATATAGGTAATTAGTATATCTATATTCTTATTAATATAAGATAATTAATTGTGGATGATGATGCACCGATAAAGTAAGGGTGTCATGATAATTGGTTGGTTTATTTGTTCACACTTAATTTTATAAAGTCACATAATTTTAATTTGCTATTTTTAATTATTAAATTTTGATTTTTATTTCAACAGGAGGTTATTACTGGCATCCGATCATTGGATATTCTAACATGATATTGAAAATAAAAATATATATTTTTTCCTAACATATTAATTTAAGATTTATCTATTAATTTATTTAACAAATAATGTCATTCCTATGTTGCAAAATTTTTTTCTTCCCTTTTTTCATATTCTTCTTAATTATGATTTTTCTTTTATGAAATATGTAATTCTCAATGTTATATTATTATTTCGATTATCGAATTTAAATAAATAAATTTTTATTAAAATTAAAATTAAAATTAAGTAATAAAAAATAACAAATTGTAACGAAACTAAATGTAGGTCTTTTTTTTTTTTTTTTTTTGAAGGTTGAACTAAATGTAAGATTTAAAGTTGGAGCTATAATTTATCCGGCATTTTTAACCGCTGCTAAAGAACGACCATCCAACTAAGCGCTCCGACACATTGCGCGAAAGTTTTGCCTTTCGATAACGAGCTATGGAGCCTGAAACCAAAAAGGCAATATCCCGCTTTTTTTTTTTTTTTTTTTTGAAGGTGAACTAAATGTAAGATTTAAGTGGAGCTATAATTTATCCGGCATTTTTACCGCTGCTAAGACGACCAGTCAACTAAGCTACCGACACTTGCGCGAAGTTTTGCTTTCATACGAGCATGGAGCCTGAAACCAAAAGGCAAATCCCGCTTACGTGTCAAAATAAAAAATAATTAATAAAAAAAAATCTCTACTGACCTCGTCTGTGTCGCCTCTGTCTCTCTCTCCCCTTCTTCCTATATATATATATATATGCCTCCGTATCGAACTCTGTAGCTCAGCTGTTACTATTTTAAATCTCTTCTCTCATGCACTTCAGTTGAAGAATCAATGGCGGCTTTTGTTCAGCAATCCCTAGTAAATCCTCTACCCGCCCAAATCACCGTTAAACCTTCGCCGTCTGATCAATTTCCTAGAATTGACATCAAATCGCCTCTGATTTCGGTTAAACGCCGCTGTAGTGCAACAGTGTTGGCATCTGTTCATGGAGGCAACGACAGAATCGAAGCTGAGGAGAAGAAGAACAATAACAACAACACCCATGTTGCTCTGCAATTGCAGGATAATTCTTATGACGTTGTTTCCAGAGACGCCCTTCCTAGTACTGTTGCTTTCCTTGTTCGTTTTTCTCTATCTTAATTTGAAAAAATTTCATTTAGTTTTATTCCATATCCCATTCTTAGGGCCTTTATCGTCTTCTCATTTCTCTTCGGTCTCTGACGGGTCTCGTCTTCGCGTTGCTTATCAGGTAATTACAATTTGTGTGTATATATATATATATATATATTGAAAATTTAAGATTTAACGTTGTATATATGTATAGGGAGTTCGTGGCGCGTACAGCGAGTCAGCAGCAGAGAAAGCGTATCCGAAATGTGAAGCAGTGCCTTGCGAGCAGTTTGATACCGCTTTTGAGGTGAATTCCTTAAGCATTTTTCTCTCTGTTGCAAAACACGTTTTTTTGGTTTGTAATTAGCTGAATTTCAGCTTTGGTTTTCTTTTAGTTTTTTTATGCTCTTTGTTGATAGAGTAAGTCGTGGAGTTGGTGGTTGTGCTTTTCCCCAACTACCCACTTGCTCTACATAGTAGATGTCATTTTCAAATTTCAATAAAGCTAATCTGGAAATGGCACCAATAGAAGGGAGTGATTGTTGATTTTAATGTGATATTTGCATCAAAATTATAGATGAAAGGTCAAATTTGCCTCAAGGAAATTTGTAGTTCTCAGTGGAATTGGAATTGACAGCTGACAGCTGTAATTATAAGTTGCTGTTTGATTGCTTTATGAGCTGTTGTTATCTTAAATTCTCCCTATTAGAAGCTAGTGTCTAAGAGGATTCGAATTTTAAACCCCAGTCCATGTTATTGAAGTCTGTTTCTACCATAGTAATATTGGTTGCATTACATGATATGTTGCAGATTTGGATCATACTTATTAAGACTTTAGGATCACTCGGTGCCTTATGCAATAAGCTTGGTGCCTTATCTATGCCCTTCATGGGGGTCTAATGCTATCCGACCCTATTAGTTTTATGTTTATTTTTCTTTTATTACAGGCGAAGCATTGTCAATGGAATTAAATTTTGTGGGTTATCTTTATTCGTTGTATTGTATTCTTGAGTTGCCACTTACATCATCATTATATTGTTTCCGTAAGTATAGCAATAATATTCATGTGTTACTTTAGTTCTGGGGAACTTACCAAGAGTGTAGTATGAGATCTGGTCCTTGAAAGATTAAAGGGGAAATGCTTTTCAGGATCCAAGCATTTCAGAGTGGAGCTGAGTTAGATACATTATATTCAAGTTGTAAGAAAAGTCACAAAATCATCTTTGCCACAATCATGTGGGTTGACCTTTTTAATGACTGATGGTTATTTAAAGTTGCATTGGTGGTAAGGTTGCAAGGAGTGACTAGAAACACACTTGGGGTGAATTAAACTTGTTTGAGCAAGGCGAATCACATCTCTCAGGATGCTGATTCAGGGGATGTTCCTTACTGTTACGCATTGTATTTTCTGAGCCACTTTAATGATGAAATTCTTCTTCAAGGATTTTGATGTCTTGTGCATTTGAAATTAAAGTGAAGAGGAAGAACTGGGAGCAACTGAAACAGGAGCAGCTATCATTCATTGCTTGGCTTTAGGGAAATATACCATCTAAACACCTTCTTTGGACAATGATTACAGTGGAAAAAATTAATCCAGCCAAGTTTGATGAAAATTTGTTATCTTTTCCTCTTTCACCTGTATGTATGTATAACTACTTTAGTTAATTGAGAAAGTTCCTTGGGGAAGTAAGAAGAATTTGGAAGGAGCTGCTATGTGGGAGGAAAAAAACTGCTTGATTCTCATCTAAGGGATTTTGGAGCAAGTTTTCTATGATTTAAACAGTAAGGGTAATTGGGTATATCTTTACATCGAGGGAATTTGAAAATTGAAGGCAGATAAGGGTATCAATATTATTTTTTGTTTTCCTTGGCTTCTCTAGAAGTAGTATAGTCAGCTAAGGTGCTTGGATTTCATTGATTTCTTATTTAATTCCTCTGTTGTACTTTGCTTGAGATTTCAAATTCTTCAATGCAGCAATTTTGAACTAATCGGAGGATCTCAAATGAAATGTTTGAAAGAGCCGAACCAGTGGTTCTTAGAATTATCTTTGCCTGGAAATAATTGGGAGTTTATTAGGCATGAAAAATATACTATGTTCCTCTTTGTGATTTGTTTCTTTTATCACCTTCACAGGCTGTTGAGCGATGGCTTGTGGACAGAGCAGTTCTGCCTATTGAAAATTCTTTAGGTGGTAGCATCCACAGAAATTATGACCTTTTGCTCCGGCACAGACTGCATATAGTCGGGGAGGTCAAATATGCTGTTCGCCATTGCTTACTAGCCAATAATGGAGTTACAGTAGAAGACTTGAAGAGGGTCCTAAGTCATCCTCAGGTTATTGTAAAATATCTCTCAGCTGAGCTCCTATATTTGGTCTCATGGTTTTTATATGGTGAGCCTGCCCCTGTTCATGTTTCAGGCTCTTGCACAATGCGAGCATACATTGACAAGTCTGGGATTGGTCCGGGAAGCAGTGGATGATACTGCTGGTGCAGCAAAGGTAGGCTTGAATTGGTAGCTGAATACCCCATTTTTCCTTTCTGTGAGGAATGTTAATTTCTCTTGCAGTCACTGAGTTTATCACTAGACCCGTTGAAGCCATTGAAATTTAATGTCTATTAGAAGTTACTGAGTCTTTATTTCTAGCTACCACTTAGACCATAACTTTGAGAGAACAGAGTGGAGCAGCTCATGTATGTTCTTGTTCTGTTGCAAGCAAATAGAAACCTTCTAATTCCTTTTGGTCTTACATTTCCAAGCAGGTCTTTGCCTTGCAATTTACTTGAAAGGTCTTATTCTTTGATCTATCTTTCTTTTATTCTATAGCAATCACCAGTAAGACCAACTTTTAGCCAAGAGTGCGAAAGTTTGATGTGGGAAATGTATTAGGCTTTTCAAAATATATTTTATGTGTTTTATGAGCTATCTAAAACATTTTTCTTCCTGATCTCTCTGTCCTTTCTCTCTGATATAATAACTTAGGTGTGAGAGAGTGGAGTGAGTTGGAAGTAAGAAGGGACAGAGGCCACTTTTTTTGTTTCATATCTTTTACCTGCATAAAGAAGAGTGAGAGTATAAAGGAAAGAGAAATTTCCTATGTGGCCCACCTAGCATATAAATAAATTAAAAAGAATCCAATAATTTGCCACGTCATACCCTCAATTGGGTGGATTTGGTCCTACTGGTTTTATTCTGACAAAAATCAAGGCTTAGTGATCTTTAAGAGATGAAGAATAGTGATACTTATGATTCAATTGGATTTAGTGAGTAGTTCAGTGATCACGGGTGAAATTCACTTAGTTTAGACTGTAAAATGTCCTGATCTTATACTCAATTTATTGTGAAATGTTGGATACTTGGATCACATCTTCCTTGCATTTGAGAAGTGTCTCGCGTATTCCTAGTGTTGCCAGGAAACACTACTGTAGTAAACTGCAAGTTCATGGGGTCAACTTTGTAGTAGTCAGTTACATTATAACTCATACTTAGTGTTTAGATATTGGAACATCTGTGTTGTGATTGACTTGAATTCATTTTAATCCTGTAGCATGTTGCACTGCACAAACTGAAAGACACAGGAGCTGTTGCTAGTTCTGCTGCTGCAAAGATCTATGGCTTAAATATATTAGCTGAAGATATTCAGGTTTGTATTTTCTTTGTTTGATATATATAGTCGCATTGAGGTGAGAATGTGATTCATCACTTATGCTTTCCTTCTGACAGGATGATTGTGATAATGTTACTCGATTTCTGATGCTAGCTAGGGAACCTATAATTCCAGGCACAGACAGGCCATTCAAGGTTTGACCTCTTGTAACAAAAAGATACTTGCCATTAAGATCTCACCATTTGCTGAATGCTGACTTTTGCTAATGGATGTGGTTCTTGAGCTAGACAAGTATTGTCTTTTCACTGGAGGAAGGACCTGGAGTGCTTTTCAAAGCACTTGCTGTTTTTGCTTTACGTCAAATTAATCTTACTAAGGTATGTGTTCATTGTCCTACTATGTATCTGGTCTCTTAACAAAGATGCATCTGCTCATCTGTGCTTTTGGTGTGTTTAAACCTTGCCTTTTTTTTCTTATAAGCAGATTGAAAGTCGTCCATTGCGGAAGCAGCCCTTAAGAACGTCTGAGGATAGCAACAATGGGTATCCAAAGTAAATATTTTGAGTCTTTCTATATTTATTCCAGAGCACTTGTATATGGTAGAATTGGAGTTTGCTTATGTTCATTTGATTTATATCTGCCTGAAAATTGAGGAATTCTTTCTCTTCTTTACTTGATTTTATTTGTATATTTTTCAGCCGATATTTTGACTATCTTTTTTATGTGGATTTTGAGGCATCAATGGCTGACCAGAAAGCACAAAATGCCCTTAAGCACCTGAAGGTGTGTATTCTTCTTGATGCTACCAAAGTGGCAAATATTATATTGACATGAAACTCTCCTCCTTTGACAGGAGTTTGCTACATTCTTGCGAGTCTTGGGGAGTTATCCGGTGGACACTAGCATGATATGAATCTAACATGGTAGGTAACCACCCAATAAAAATTGTTGATTTGGATCTAATTATGAGGTTTGTGTTGTGCAAGGCAATTTTATGGTGAAAGCAAAGCCTCTCTTATTTGATGAACAATGGAGATTGTTATATATGTCCAAAACTTATTTTGGCTCCGTATTGTTCAATCCTGCAAGAACATCTTGGCAAACGTCCTTTCTCCTACTATAAGGACTAATTTGGAGTAAAAATCCAGTTAATTGACCATAGCTAAGGGTTGCCAATCTGGTTCCCTTATTTGTTTGATGTTAGTAGTTGATATCAACCCACACCAATCAAAATTTCTCTGCCCACTCTTCTCTCCATCTCGCTCCCATTTCCACATTTGCTAGGTTACTATGTGAAAAACCTGGGCCTATTTGTGTAGTTTGTGAAATATTTTGGTTCGAAGTTTTAACATGAATGTTTTTTTGTTTCTTGCTATTTTGGCGTTTAGGACAATGATTTTACTATAAATTTCCAAATTTATTTGAACATACCCAAGGGAAGATGTTTTCCAGATAGTTCTTCTTTTCATCCAATTCTCTCAGCTTTCATTTTGATGTGAGTGTTGATGCATGCAGGACTTTGGAGAATACAGTATCGTGAAAATTGATGCAGTGATCAAATGGATGCAACAAACATGATTAATTCCCATTTTGTTGCAGTTTTGTTAATATCTTCTCTATACTGCCCTTGTAATCATTTGCAGCTAATTGGGCATTTTTTTATGGCGTTTGTTCAAAATTTTCTTTTGGTTCATTTTGTCCGGTTTTTAGCACGATTTGCAAAAGTGCAGTTTATGGAGAGAGTCAGGCTTATTTCTTTTCCCATTGTTTGATATAAATAAATTTCAAGGACAGAATTTTACTTATAATAATTGATTGATATAATTTATTATAGTTTATGTTGAGTTTGTTTTAAATTTCAAGCCATGAATGATACCGTGTCAGGTACTGTGGGTACTAATGTTTGCGGTTTTGGGGGGGCGGGGGGCTGGTTCAAGTTATAGTTTTCACAAGCTAAAATGACCGATGCTTAAATACGATTAACAGGGAGCTGTAAAAATTCTGGACATATCAATGCTATGGTCGCTTTAGGTTAAACGCGACGCGATGAAAGGAAATCTTCATTCCTTCGTCCCTTGACTATGAAAATTTCGCCATAATTGTGGGGAGAAATTGCGGTTAACCCATCCCAAATTACAGGCTTTTGAATGGCATCCGAAACTAAAAAATCTAGCATGGATTTGATTGTTTTATAGCACATCACTGGGTTTTAGATCTCATCCAGTCATATTAGCAGTTGCACCAGCAAGAATAGCATGCATCACACATTCATGTCTAATTAGATAGACACTTAAGAGACAATTTTTAGGTGTTTGGTATTCAAATTATAATTGTGGCCATAAAAACTAGTGTCTGGGCTTTCAAATTTAAAATAAACAAGTCAAGGCAGATTGCTGCTTCCGGCCTTCTACTATAAAGAGCTCTAGATTACAAAGAGGTGTAAAATTGCAGGTAGGATTCTGACGGCCATTAAGCAAAACATCAAAAAAACAAGTTTTTGAAGAAAAAATGATCTGCAGGTAGGATTCTGCAACAGTTTCACAGCTATTTTTCATATTCATTGCATTGCCATATCAGTAGGCAGCAAATGCCATTGGCTGAGAAGAAAAGATCCATACCTGCAGGTTCAAAGTTTTCTAGAGGGGTAATTTAGGCACCAATGTTACCCCTGTATCATTTCCAGAGTTATAGAGAATGCCGTCTAAACCATCAAGAGTTATAAAAAGAGTTTCACTTCTCTGTCCCGAACTAATGTCAGTAAAAATTTACGCAAGTTCCATTGCTAATCCATCAGCGAAGAACAAGCCTCATTATTTGCTGGCCATAAGACGTCTAATCAGAAGTAGGATTTCATTCCGCATCCCAGCAACAGCAGCCGGAGTAACCTGTTCCTTGACAATGGAAAACCACAAACCATCTCTGTCCTTTTGGTCACAGCTTTCATTCCAGTAGCATATGGCTCTTGAAATAGCTGTAACGTATAAGCCACAATCAGAACCATTCACTTGCTGAGGAGAATAAGTAAGTTCAATATACTCAGCATGAGCAGTTGTATCAGAAGTGTCTAAAAAGCTCACTACAGCTTTATAAAGCTGCAAAGCATGTCTTTTATTCATCCCTGAATAGCTATCATGATGAACAAAGACATTAGCATTTCTCTCATACGCAAGTAAGCTCCAGTGACTTCCACCTTCAGCAAGGTTCACATCATCATTGTTATTAACAGGAAATATCACCAATTTCTTTTCTGGCAACTTAAGGGGTTCTACAAAACCTATAAGATTCTCAGTATCTGGGCAGTTTGATATCCAAAAGGCAATTGAAGGTGGTACCAGCAGGATGTCTTCTGAAGGGTGGGTTGAAGACAGGTAACTGAAGTAGAATTCAATGATTCGATCATTCAGAAAGTACGGGCCACTGAGGATGTCCAGGTCTGATTGCCTGAGAACAACGTCATTGTAGCTGAGAATCTTTCCATCAGCTATGGATTTTCCCATGCTGCAAACACTTAAATGTTTTCCTGATCAAATACACCTCAACCAAGTTAGATTCACAATATCCATTCTTTGAAACTATTTAAAATAAGAACAACTGCCTGGGTTTTGTTATTATTTGAACTTGTCTGAGCAACAACATATTCAGTTATACATCTGAGGAAATAATAGAATATTAACAAGAAAAAGAAATTCAAGATCATCAAGATCACTGATGCAGTAACCAATGGCTAGCCAGATTAGAATTGCAAAATTAACTATTGAGAAAGCAATTTCTGGAAGGAAAATTTTTTATATGGAAATTATCATGCATAGGTCCACCAAGTCCAAATGATCTTTTTGCTTTCCCCCATGTTTCTTCTTTTGTAAAAATATTATAGAGATTTTGTGGCAAGATTCTCCATTGCCAAGTTGTTCAAGTTTTGCCACTTCTAGACAAAGGTACTTAATTCAAGTAAAATACATTCTCCTAGGCTCTTTAAACGCTTTTGATTGCCATTAACTATTCAAATTAATGGAGTAGGCTTTTAAAGATTTTGCAATTGCAATACCAATGTACTTTTCTGCTTAACTTTCTCGGCAAACAAACAGAAGGAGAATCCCACTTTTTTCCACATTCACATCCGCAAGAAACATGAATAGTTAAATGAAAATTATCATACCCTACAGTAAAATCGGCAATTCCGTTCAAACCGATTCAAATAATAATAATACCCTACAGCACATATTCTGCTACTGATTTTAAAAGAAAAATAAGGGAAAACGAGAACTTTGAGATCGAAATAATGCCACTTACTGCGCTAAGGCGATTTACTAAGCTGCTCTACGCTTTGCTGCTTCTCGCTATGAGCACGGTGAGGATATGGCGAATTGCTGGTCGGTGGATGATGATTGCATGGGCATCGACGCATAAAGCGATGGGCTTTTGTCCTCTTAGAGGACGGATCTATGAGTTGGCCTCGTCTCAATTAAGTCGGTACCCGGTAGTCGCCACGGGCAGGCGTGCAAGCAAAAATTGACCCAACCGAACTTATTAAACCCAAATTGATCGAAATTTTCTACTAAAATCAAATCAAATTAATTACTACCTTGTATGATAGAATCAAATCAATTTGATTTGAATTTTTTTTATTTGGTCCATAACTATCAAATCGAGAATTAAATCTTGTTGAGAATTGAATGGAATTGTAAATTTGATATATATCTCTTAGAGGACGGATTTCTATGAGTTGGCCCTCGTCTCAATTAAGTCGGGGTACCACCCGGTAGTCGCCACGGGCAGGCGTGCAACAATAAATTGACCCAACCCCGAACTTATTAAACCCAAATGATCGAAAATTTTCTACTAAATCAAATCAAATTGAATTACTACCTTGTATGATAGAAATCAAATCAATTTATTTGAAATTTTTTTTATTTGGTCCCATAACTTATCAATCGAGAATTAAATCTTTGTTGAGAATTGAATGGAAATTGTAAATTTGATATATATATATATATATATATATATATATATATATATATATTATAATACACATTAAACCCTTTGGATTTTTATTAAAAAAAAAATTTATTATTTTAATTTTCTATAATCAAGCCATGCACATGAAAATTGAATTTCTGATCTAAAAATTAAATTGTTTAAAAAAGAAGGGATTAATTTAGGTGATGCTTTGGTTAGTCTTCTTTGTTTTATGCGAATAGTTGGCAAGTGTTTGGAAAATCGCTATTTTCCCCCTGCCCTTCGGACCGGCTTCAAGCAAGAACAATTGAGAAAAATAATAATGACTGAGAAATTAAAAGAGAATAAATAACACATAATTTAACGTGGAAAACTCTCCCAGTGGAGAAATCAAACGGCCGTTTGCTAACGACAACCAAGAAAATAGTTCACTATGGCGGCAGTTGTTACAACCACAATTTACAAAATATTTATTCTACCATACCGGTCTCAAAACTACCCCAATATTTTATACTCCAAGGGACTTTTT